TTTGGCCGGCCAGGAGCGCCTGAGCTATATACAGGTGCGGTGGATCTTGGTGGTACATCGGTTTGGCTTGGTTTTCTAAGGAAGAAAACGTATCTTGCTCCACCGCACTAGTGTTTGTGATCCTGGACACCTATACCGGAGTAGTCCTGTTTTTTTTGGTTTTTTTTCATTTCCCCCTCCCTCTCGTATGCTCATAACTTAGCTTGGATCATTATCGGAGGAGGGGGCCCGAACGGTGTCGTTTAGGGTCAGAATTTCGACTGGCTGCGACTCGCGGGAAGCGGGATGCGCGGTCAGCCGGTAGATGGCAGTGACAAGGGCAGGGGAGACCCCGGCCGGCTTCGTCATGGCAGGATGGCGACCCGCACAGCGCCATCCCGGCAGTGTGGCACATCCCGGGCATGCAGGGCACCTTCACCCCTTGCTGTTGCCTTGGCCGGATCTAAGCCCTGTTAATGGCATGACCGTCGCCGTGGCCGTTGAATAACATCATCGCTCCCGGCAGATCTCGTGGCAGGGAAACTAGGTTTGCAGGCCTTCTCAAAGGGTGCTTGCCCATGACAAGGAGGATGTGAGTGTGCAAGCAACAGACCTTGGATAGTCGTGATATGCAAGGCAGGGGCTGGCAGTGGCAACGAGCACAGGGCAGTCGGGATCGCGGAGAATTGATAGTTCTGGCCCATTCTAAATATCACGGCCTTTAGGGCCCCCGTAAGGATATGAAGTTATTCGCACGGGTGATTGCCTTGAGCAGTCGCCCTCCTGGGAGGATCGGGGACCCACTTTCCCAATGGGTCCCGCCCTAACCCTGTTGGGTAACCACGCGCCTCCCAATTGGGCTTATCCCAATTGGGCACGCGAGGGCCTCCAGCAGGCGATCCCTTCCCTTCCCAGGCATTAACTTTTGCACTACTTTATGAAACCCCTAGAGATCATCACACTAGACATAACGAAACATGAGATTGGGCAGGGACACTGGGTGCCAGGGTCCGTCGGGACTTTTACAGCTATCTACGATACGGCAAGTATCATGACAAAATCCCATTGCCTCTACCTCAGGCCACGGTGACGGTGGTGTTTACCCGGATGCGCGCGCTCGAAGCGCCGACCAGGATCTGGAACTGGCCGGGTTCGACCACGTACTTCATCTCGTAGTCCCAGAGCCCCCATTCCTTGACGGGGAGGTCAATTGACACGGTTTCCGTCTGGCCTGCACGCACCATCCCCTTCCAGAAGCCTCGGAGCTGCTTGTTCGGAACCGCCACGCTTGAAAGGAGGTCTTTGACGTAGACCTGGACGACATCCTTGCCGTCGCGGGAAGAGGGATTTGTGACCTTTACGGTTACTGTGAGCGTGTCGGTCGGCGACAGCGTGGAGGAGGATACGGAGAGATCCGAGTAAGTGAAGTTGCTGTAGGAGAGTCCGTATCCGAACTGAGGGTAGAACTCGTTGTTAGCGGTAGTGATACAAATACTGGCACAAGGCGCAATACCAACCTCATAATGCGGCAGCGGAGACGACAAGACATAGTTCTGGCCAAAGACAAGCGTCCCATTGGGGAGCTCACGGCCGGGCGAAGGGCTGGCTCGTCCAGAATTCAGATAGTCGTAGTAGACAGGGGTTGTTCCGACGTGGTAGGGGATGGCGACCGACAACCTGCCGCTGGGATTGACGTCACCAAACAGGATGTCCGCTAGCGCATGCCCGCCCTCCTGCCCCTGGTAGAACATCTGCACGAGGGCGCTCGCCTGGTTCGAGATCCACGGCTCGGTGACGGGCTTGCCCGAGCTGTACACCACCACGGTCGGCGTGCCCGAGTCGATTATGGCCTTGACGAGACGCGGCATGGCCCCGACGAGGCCGAGATCGTGCACGTCGATGTGCTCCCCCGTCGTGGCGTTGAGGTTCTGCCACAGCTCGTCCTGGTCGCGCGACCAGGTCCCGACCACAACCACGGCGACGTCGGCGCTCTTTGCCGCCGCCACGGCCGCGCCGAACCCGGCCTCGTCGTTGGACCAGCGCTCGCAGCCCTGCGCAAACGTCGCGCCGCCCCCTCCCGACTCGACGGCGGCGCGGATCCCGTCAAAGGGCGTGACGCCGCGCTCCATGGCCGTGTGGATAACGTAGTCGCCGTAGTTGACGTAGCCGTGGGCCATGGGGCCGACGACGGCGACCCGGCTGCTCTTGGGCAGCGGCAGCAAGGCCTTGCGGTTCTCGAGCAGCACGATGCTCTCGGCGTCGAGGTCGCGCGCGAGCCTGCGGTGCTCGGTCGTGTTGAGGTACTGCGCGATCTGGTCGTCCGGCACGGCCGTGTACGGGTTCTCGAACAGCCCGGCCTTGAACTTGGCGCGGAGCACGCGCGACACGGCCGTGTCGACCACATCGGCGGGTATCGTGCCATTGGCCACCAGCTTCGGTATCAGCTCGAAGCTCCACCGGCCGCCGCCCATCTCGGCGTCGTTGCCGGCCGTGATGCTCTTCTTGGTGATGCAGACGTCGTCGGCGCGCGCGCAGACGTGGAACGCGTCGGCGAGCCGCGCCGTCCCGCCCGCGTCCGAGATGACGTAGTTCTCGAACCCCCACTCGTCGCGCAGAATGCCCGTCAGCAGCCTCTTGTCCGCAACGGTCGGCACGCCGTCGTACGAGTTGTACGACGACATGACGCTCCACGCATCGGCGTCGAGGATGGCACGCTTGAAGGCCGGCAGGTACGTGGTGCGCAGCATGCGGGGGCCGCCGTGAACGGGCGCCGTGTTGACGCCCTGCTCGGGCGTGGCAAAGGCGGCAAAGTGCTTGACCATGGCGCTCACTTTCTCCTTCTGCATGGCCTCGACGTAGGCGTGGCCGTACTCGCCGGCCAGGAAGGCGTCCTCCGAGTAGCACTCCTCGACGCGACCGTAGCGCAGCTCGCGCGCCAGGTCGACGACCGGCGCGAAGATCTGGTTGACGCCGATGGCGCGCGACTCGAGGGCGATGGCGCGCGCCATCTGGCCGACCAGAGCCGGGTTCCAGGAGCAGCCGTGGGCGATGGGCGAGTTGAAGACGGTGGCGTTGAGGGCCAGCAGCCCGTGGATGCCCTCGCTCTGGATGAAGGCCGGGATGCCGAGGCGGGTGTCGCGCACCAGGTGCTCCTGGGCCAGACGCGCGCCCAGCGAGACGGTCTGCGGTGTCGTGTAGAGGCCGGTCCAGATGGAGTTTGCCCGCTTCTCGGCCGTCCACGACAGGCCGCTCGAGTTGAACGAGGCATCGGTCAGGTTGAGGTAGCTGCGGATGTCTCCCTGGAGGAGCTGGGCCGTCTTCTCCTCGATGGTCATGCGCCGCAGCAGATCGGCCACGCGGTCGTCAATGGTGGCGTTCGGATTCCGGTAGACGGCAGAGTTTGTGTCATTTTGACTGCTTCGTCTTGAGAAGGTGCTGACCGGCGAGGCGGCTGCTAACAAAAGGGCCACAACGGCCGCAGTCGAAGGGAGTTTCATGGGTGGCGGTGCTGATCACGGCGGCTAGATCTGTCACTTCTAATGGCATCTGCCAAGCACTCCATGCCTTGGAGCCCACGGTGCGGCGGCAACTCCAACGAGCGCCGCCCTCTTTATCCCATTGCCGTTTTGTCACATCTGCGTGTCACGAAGCTAGGCTCAGAAACAGGCATTCCCCGCACGCCGCGGACGCAATTGAGGCTTTTCAGGGCCGGATATTTACACCTGGCAGGTGGTCACCTCTTGCGCACGAATCAGCAGCCCAGATATCCTGGGCCAGGCCTGGGCAGGCGTGGCCAGGCAGGAGTCTATACCGTACCCGTCCGTTGGGAATACGACAAGACCCCGCGCGCAGCACGCCAGACGATGATATATGATCCCGGATTGCTGTGCCCAGACTACTTGCGGCCCATCTCCCGCTTGCCCGCACATTTTGCGAAGGCTGTTTATTCCACCAATCGGGATTGGGAGACCGCACCCGCGTCAGGTCGCCATCTCGTCCGCACATTGGCTGTCGTCTGGAAGGAGGGCGCTTCCACGACGAATTAATTGATACACCAAAACGAAAACGACTTTAGGTCCTCCTCAGCTCCGTCGATTTCAATGTTTAAAGAAATAAAAACTGCTTATCTTTGCGAACGATCGGAATGATATTATTTTGCGTTAAAATGCTATCTAATGGAGTTGTGAAGTTGCGGACGAAACTGGTCAAACGAATCAGGCAGCCTAAGGCCGGATTTTAACATGTGGTGTATCAATTAATTCGTCGCGGGGGTGGAAGGGTAAAAGCGATCTGCGAACCAGCCCAGGTGACCCGGTGAGGGGAGTCCAAACTAAGATCTTGAACAGGACGGGGAAAGAAGCTATTTTTGTTGTCAGTTTCTTTGTTTCGAGGCTTACAAAACTATAGGGAACATCAACTCTGACATTTCACGATTGTCCATTCCCTACGGCCCTGGTCAGTGGTGCTAACGGACCGCCATGCGAGGCCATTTTTAGGATATGGAGTACTAGGTACGAGCCAGTGGATTTAAAGGCGAGCTGGCAATGGCTGGGACTGTCGGATTGTTGATTGGGGAGCCCTCTGACCGCGGGCCACTGTTTGACGGAGTACGTGTTTGTTTCGTTTCCCTCCGCTGTTTCTTCTCCCCATCGCTTGAAGCATGACTTGGGGGCCTGTCGTGATTCTCGCTTATTTTTGGCTCAAGATGGAAGGTGACGTCGGCCAGCAATGCTGCACGAAGGGACGGCGGTGCTTGTAAGAATCTCGGCCCGAGCGCTATTGACGCGTTTCGAGGCCAGGATCCCATGCACCTCTAGGGCACAGCCCCAACACGGTTCAACACCGTGCACATGTATAAATAGCCTGTACACCGATGTACAGTGTGTATAATTATAATTAGGAGATACCCAGACTCCCGACACCACACTAGCTAGCACAATTAACCTGTGACGGCTACCGGTGCAGAGTCTAGAAGCCACACCTGCTGTCAAAACATCGCGGGCCGTGGGGTTCGCCGCCGCCAAGGGAGCAGAATGCGACGGGGCCCGCCTGTGCGGCCCCATGTATAGGTCCCAGGGATCACAAACCTTAATGTGGTGGATGCAATTAGTACGATGGATCCTGGTGGTACATCAGTTTGGCTTGGTTTTCTAAGGAAAAAATGTATCTTGCTCCACCGCACTAGTGTTTGTGATCCCTGGAACTTATACCACTAGGATCCACTGTACTAAGGTTTGTGATCCCTGGGACCTGTACCAAGCCTTATGCCAGAGGGCGACGTTGGCTTCCACGGCGATGCTGTGCCGTGCTTGCCGAGACATGTGGGCATCTGCCCGGACCGGATGGTATATAAGCCCATGAACTGGACTGCCCAGTTCTTGATTCGGGATTTCTCTTTACCACCATCCCCTTTTCCTTTTGTTCTTGCTTTGGTTTGTTTTTTTACTTTCCTGAGCATTTCCTTTTGTTATTTCCTACTGTCATCTTTCCAAACTTTTTTTCTATCACACCAACATTTGTTTTCGTCTTGACCTTCCAGCTCGCCCACCATGCGTCTCAACGCCTTCCGCCTGCTGGCCTTTGTCGCCGTCGGGGCCATCCCGTCGATGGCCCTGCCGCTCGACCGGCCGTCTTTCGATCTTGTCGCGCGGGACTTCCTGGCCCCCGGCCTCGCCGAGGCGCTCGCCGTCGCCAAGCGGGCCGAGGTGGTCGACGAAGCGGGCGCGCTGTACCCGCTGCCCCTGCCGCCCGGAAAAACCTCTGCGGATATGAACAAGCCCAAGCAGCCCAATTACATGAAGGACACCGTCAGCTCCAAGAACAAGAAGACCACCAAGAAGGGCAAACGCTCCGACGAGGTTGAGGAGGCGGGCGCGCTGTACCCGCTGCCCCTGCCGCCCGG